ACCTCCTCTGGCAAAATTGAGAAATTGAAAATGGAAAGTTCTTTGCAGCATGCCCTCCCATTTATATACACCAAGAATCATGTGTTCACTGAAGGGTTCCCTAGGAGCACCAGGATATAAAAGCAACAAGAAATTAAAAACTTAAGGAAGCAACAAGCTCTGGGAGTAAAAACGCATCCTGCTTTCCAGGTTTGAGCATATGAACTGGTTGATTAAGTGAATACTAAATGCACCTTTGGAGTTGTTTTAATATTAAAACAAAAGTAATCAGGCAACGCTAAATGTGTATGTATTGTACTTTCATTGGAGTAAGGAAATTGCCAACCACTTTTACAATTGCTCACTTTTACAATGTCATATACGCTCCTAGGACAAAATGACCCCCATGAATTTTGTCCCTTTTTCTGCTGCTTTTGGAAGTCTCCACTATACATGTCGGAGCTGATTCCATTGTTGTGTCGTGGCGCCTCCGTGATTCAGATACTGATTCGCCAAGACTTGCTAGGTGTCCAGTTATTGACTGGAACGTCTGGTCAAAAAGGGGGGACCTGATGGTGTCCAGTCAGATCTACTGGCCAGACACCCAAAGCCCAGTTACTTTGGGCAGGAAAGGCAGGGAGGAGTAGAGTCAGCACCCACACTGGCCCCTATTCAGCCAAGGTCATCTCCTACCTGCATAGGTGCTGGAAGTACAGATGCGGGGGGGAGGGGAGAGGCTGCAGCCTCCTCTGACTCGGTTTCCATTTTATATACAGGGTTTACAGTTTGGTTCAATGGCTCTCAGCACCCCTAGTGTATAAATTATTCCAGCACTGCTGCCCACCTGCATTGAGCAGCTGCAACTCCCTGCCCCTGCTCTGTAGGCGAGTGCCTCCCGATCCATGGAGGGAGGGTGGAGATGGCAAAAGCAGTGAGTATTGGAGAGAGACGGGGAGAGGAGTAAAGCAGAGCAGGACCTTGGAGGAAGGGATGGGGCCTCAGGGGGAAGGAGCACGCTCGCTAGTGTCTGGTTTTAAAATATTACTAAGATGGCTATCCTTCCAGGTGACCAATAGAACAGGGACACAATCTAGTCAGCACTGGAGGCCATATGAGCTCTTGCAGTTCCTGCATAATACAAGGCACAAGCTGCTTCCTTTCTGAGTTTGTACCAACCCAGACAACAGGGAAGGAAAGGAAGTTACATCCCCATTTGACAGAGGGGGAACTGAGTTAGAGAGTGAGAGATCAAGGGGCAGATTTTCAAAAGCAAGCATGACCCACTAAGTGCTGCTGAGAACAACTGGAATGCAAAATTTTGCCCTCCTTTGCAAGTCTGGCCATAAAAATGATTTGCTGAGAGTCACACCAGGATTTGAAATAGCCAGGATATGAACCCAGATCTCAAGTCCCAATAACATGTCTTAATCATGAGACCCATCACAGGTCTTCCTCTGGTGCCTCAGCAATGCTACTCCTTGTGTACCCAATGAAGTCACTTATGAGCAATGCAAGGAATCTTTCATCACTCTAGAGACTGTGTGGGTTGCCTCCACAGTCCTTCCAGCATACTGGCTTGAGAGATCAAAACAGGAATTATTAAATTCATCCTGTCTCCCCTCTCCCCCACCCACACCATATTGACATGGACTATTGACCAACAGTCTAATCAGCCAGCACGTTATAATAAAGCATGCAGGATGTTGACAGAGTCAGCCTGCTGCATTACAATTAGGCTACACAGGGTGTAGGTTGGGTGGTTTGGTTTCTGATCTCAGTAAATTAGCATGTAAACAGATATTTTGGATGAAAAGACTCATGGCTCCATGCTAGCAGAACAAACCCTAGGGAGGATTTACAATGCTAAGAAACATTTGAATGCTGCAGCTAGTGTGGGGGGAAAGGAAGTGCTATAATAAATAGCTCAGTAGATGTCCTCTGCTTTTAAAATAAATTCCTTTTGGTGCATCTTTCTTTGTGATTAGTGAGCTGCACATTTTGGGGAAGCAATATTTCTCCTAGGTAAAAGCACACAAAATCCTCTGCTTTCTGAAGAGGTTAAAATCTTGTCTTTGGCCCCTTTATGGGAGAAACCCCAGATGTCTCCTCTCTCAAATGCGCTGAGAAAGATTCAAAGCTCACTTTTCAGAGAATCCAAGCATCTCCCTGTGGATATGGGTGGGGAAAACGGTGCTCTGTGCCCAGTCTGAGACATACACAGCACATCTGTTATGGGGACCAGAAGAAAAGGTCTGGTTTTGAAAAGCATCAGCTCTCTGGTTCCCATGCCAGATGTGTAAGTGAGCATTTGTCAGGAGCCAGCCTGTAGTACTTGTGTCCCCATGTTCTTGTGAAGCTTTTATCAGCAAGTCTAGGAAAGAAGCCTGCTCACACAGGAGTATTAAGAACCTCTCAGCCTCCTAAATAGCGAGGGCCCAGTTCATGTAAGTTCTTTGGGACAGGGACTGTTTCATGCTGTGTGTTGATACAGTGTCTAGTGCTTTGGAGCTCTGACCAGGAATGTGGCCACCAGGTATTTCCATTGTATAAAATATTTCCTGCTTGCTTGAAACTTCAGGGACTCAGAAATGAGACTAGCGTCTCTCTTTTGCATAGCTTGGTGACTTCTGCTTCACAAAGGCTCAGACACTCAGACCAAGTGTAAATTTAAAACTCTATTGAATCCGTTTCCAAGCGTATGTGTAGCAGGTGTTTCGGTCTTCCCCTGTGCAGTGGCAGAGCAAAACATTTATCTCTGAATTATTTAGCACATGGAGTCTTCAGAGCCCCTGCAGCAGCTTAGCCCTCTGGGTCTGCCTTGAAAGAAAATGTATGCTCTCATTTTTAAAATGTGAGCTGAGTCATTGGAATGAACCAGGCCATGTGGAAAGTGGAGTCCAGAAACAAAGGTCTCACTGTGTCTTAATCAAGAATACTTATTCTTATATTGTGGGTGCTCATGGGGGTGGTGTCCCCCTCCCCCATACAGACTCTGGCAACAGAGTCTGTATTGTAGCAGAGAGGCAGAGAGATTTATAATTTTTACTGTAAAGGTTAATTTCCTGGACTAAGCAGTGGAAATCTCATTGCTGAGGCACCAATGAATTAGGAACCAGCAACTCAACAGAGTGGAGGGTTCATAAGAGGAAAGAAGTCTGGTTCATAGTTGTGGGTAATGCATATACACTGTGATGATCTTCTCTTTAAAAAAATGCTTTGTACCTCCGAATGCCATGCCTCAAACGTCAACCCAGTTACTGTAGGCACCCTTCAAGTTTATCCTGGCTTTTGAGAAGCTGGTTACAACGATATTCTCTATATGTAAAAATGGGAAATACTTTTATATGCAATTATATCTCTAGAATCAGGATGAATTTCAGTGCAATTGCTGTAACTGCTGTTGCTGAAGTCATGAGATTGTGTCTGGCTTTTTTCATCCTACTCTCACAGAGCCCAACCAGGCTTAGGGATAGCTAAAGTTCTGCAATTGTCTTTACTTGTAAGAGCCCTTTAGAATAGTCACACCTGGCTAATGTATTGTTCCTTCCTAATAGTTAGGGTAAACTTTATGCTGATGATTAGGCTTTTTGACAGAGGGAACTTTTATAGAGTTTTTTTTTTGGTTGGAAACATTTTCATTTTGTTAACAATCACCATTTCTAAACAAACTTGTTTAGATTTAAAATATCAGTTTGGGTCTTTAAATCTGGATAACTTTGTGGATTGTTTTTTAAACTTTTCCCATGCACCCCACATTTCCTCACCTATCCCATTCCAACGAAATGGGAGGGAATGAAATAAAATGTGTGGGAAACTTTAAAAAAAACATTAAAAAGGTATAGGGAAAACCTGCGCTTCCCCTCCCCTCACTATCTTTCCTTCAGGTTTTTTTTCTGTCCAAATTTTTGTCACTTGGCCAAAAAAGAGCTGAAAGTGTTTCTTATTCTCAAAAGTAACAAACACTTCCAATATTTAACTATTTCTTACACTGTGTTGGTGTTTTCCAACTGGCAAAAACTAGGAGATGGTAATACTGTGAAACAAGGATCCTTCCCCTTCTTCCCCCCCACTATTTTGAAATGAAAACAAATATTTTGGGGGTGGTGAGATTCCTGGAATTTTCTATTCAAGAAATGTTGAAAAAAAAAACCCAAAAGTAGTCATCTAAGTTGTTAATTTTTGAAAGGAAGAAAATAATTTTGATGAACCCTATTTTCTGATTGGAAAATGGCTTTCTGTTAGAAATTTCCTGATAAGTTCTAATTACAATGATGGGCATGGTATAAAATCTGTATAGAAGAGAGTGGCTTAAACAGCATGTTCCTGTCTTCTACCTAGTTCTCACTGCATTATTAGTCCCTCCATTTGAGCAGTAACATCTTTCTCTTTTCCCCTCTTGTGAATTCAATGATGGTGGCTATTAGCAGAGATGAGAGGAGGTATATGAGAGAGACTTTTTCAGTATCTCCTTGTTTCTCTCTTTCTACCTCTCTCTTGCTGTTTCTTTAATCAGTAGCCAGATAGGGCTGGTAAATTTCCTAAGACAAGCGCCACAGTGAAGCAGAGAGAGAAAAAGAGACTTAATACTGTTTTCTTTATGATAACTAAGTTTCCTGTTCAGTGCTGGAAGAAAAATTACCCTTATTCTTTGTCACATGATAGATTTAGTCTCCCTATGTCCACAGCTTCTGTTCCCAGGAGAGAGAATGCTTACAAACTGGTCTTATCATTGATGATTACCATTGCTCTGTAAGGTGCAGGGAGATAATTATTTTTTCAGTCTTTAAAAAACCTCCCAACCCTCAAAGGAAATTTCTGTGTGATATTTTTCATCTGGTTTGGCAGGTTCTTCTTGGAGAATGGAGAGTCAAGGGAAAATGGGAATTAGTAAAACATGTTGTGAACCATCTGGAAATCCTGCAGCAAAAAGTGGAAAAAAACCCAGCAAAACAGTAGCTGACAAATAATCATGAACTGCATCCTTTTTAATTGTGTACCTCTCTTCCCCCCTCTCTCTTCAGGGCCAAGTATTTCCAGGGGAAGAAGGTGAATGGAGAGTTTGAGATCCGAGTGGAACAGGTCAGTAGTCACTGAAATCCTCTACAGGACTCATGTAGGGGATTAAGAGCTCACCTGCAAGTGTCTGTGGGCATCCATGAGGAGGAGAAAGGTGCTAAAGAGGAATTTTGAGGCTTGTCTGTTTCAGAGAATTAGAGAAGCCAGAGATGAAAATAAGCTTTTTGGCCAACTAGTCCTGCCTTTTTAGAGTTGTTCCCTATTGTACCTTTTCTAGTGTTGCTTTGAGTGTCCCTATGGGTATGTCTATGCTATAGTTATAAAGCCTCAGCTGGCCCATGCCAGCGGGACTCACTCAGGCAAAGGGACTGTTTAATTGCAGTGTAGAAATTCAAGCTCAAGCTGCAGCGCAAGCTCTGGAACCTTGCAGATCCTAGAGCCCAGGCCTCAGTTTACCTCTCATGCCAGAGGAGGCAAAACCAGGGCCAGTAGGGCTAGTGCCCCTATGTAAACTCACACATGCCCAGGGGAGGAGGTGGAAGTGAGAGGGGCTGGAAGCATGTAGGAACCCTCAGGACCTTCCCTCCCCCCTCTCTCCCCCCCCC